ATGATACCTTTCGTGCTCAATATTTTACTTACAAAATTGTGAGTGTTCTCTACAAAAGATTTGGAAAAAGTCTAACTGAGTTGGTGAGCAATTGTGATGTTTGTTGAGTATCATATAATGATTGATTTTCTTAGTGGGATTGGCTAAGGAGGTGGCACGTGAAAATTTTGATTAAAAGTTAAATCATCAAATTATCCATAAGGAAAACCAACATACTAAGTTTAAAGGTCTAATTTACAAATGCTATCAAAAGATCCAATTTCAATTCGACCAAATTTAGATTGGATTTTTATAGATTTAGTAATCATTTCTAATTATACTTTAATAATGATATGTGAAATTACTATATTGATTCTGAGATTTAAGAATTGAATTATGAAGCACTAATAAAATTTCGTAGTACATTAACATTGCTTATAGTTATTATTACTTCCTTCATAATTTAATTGTTCTAATTGTTCTACTATAATGAGCTTTGACAATTCTCATGTTAATGATCTCCTTTAATAGTCTTTCATATTAAATACACATAGTAATGCAAAATTTATATAAATATTTAAAAAATTTACTTATAAATGTATAGAGATATTTTTTCTTATGTCTCTACCTTATCTAATTTTATTATGTTTGTAGTGATCCTCAACACTTTATAATCCTTTATATTTTATTTTACTAGACAATTGCGGAAATACTTCTTTCCAAGCATTTTAGCACACATGTGATTAAACCTGTAAGTAGTAAATTTGTGCTATATAAGTCATAGTCATATTTTATTTTACTAAATTTCGTTATTACAAGATCATATGCATCTCATAATTCCATGATTTTATATTTTTATAGGTCTTTTTATGTGCTATAGTTGAGATGGTTAGTGGACGCTTTCTAAATGGAGTGGGTTCAAGAATTGGACTAATGGGGATTGACTATTCAACTGCCGAATGGCTTCACAAGTATGATTTTTTTTTTTTTTTTTTTTTTTTTTTGTTTTTATTTTTTGAAATGTGGATGAAATTAAATCTTTGTCCATAGTTGCACTATACCAGCATATTGATTAAAGAAAAGTTAGTAAAACAAAAGGGCCACACATAAAAAATTAATGTGAAACTCATTTCTTCCCAAACTCACGCTTGCATCCACCATATGAAATGGTAAATAAAAATGTTCAATGTGTATTGTAAATTTTAAGCTATTAACTATTTTTCTGTGCAAAGATAGCTGCATAAGGTATATTATAGAAATCCAATTAAAATTATCAATAATAGGACGAAATATAACAACCTAGAAACTTCCACTCTGTAAAGTATTGAGTATATGATTTGTCCCAAAATAAAATATGCATTACCTGCTATTTATTCAAAATACACTTTATACTTCTATTTTGATTCAACTAATACATGAATATCAACTTCTCCCTACTACTTGAGTTTAGGGTCTCGCTTTATATTTCATGTAATAAAAAGAAAACTTATTAAACTCTTATCACATACCTTTTTTAATTGAATAAAATTGATAAACAATTAACAAATTTACTCCTCAAACTGTAGATCATTATAATTGTACATTGTATTTTTTATACAAAGCTATTGCATAGATCACGATAGGTGTGAAAATGAATTTTTATATGAATAGTATTACCAAATTTATGATAAGGCTTACAATTCAAAGAACTGGTGACAAGTAATAAGTGAGTTTAATTTTTACCTGCAAAATATTGAACCAAATTAGTGCTATTTAGAATGCCCACTCCATTTCTTATTACTTTTATTGACAAGAAGTGATCCTATTACATCATAGCTACTTATTATAACTAGCAATGAAACAAGTGAGGCTAAACCCACATCCATTCACGAGTCTTCTATGCACCACCACCAATCTCTTTCATCTTTTATTACAAATAACATTAACTTCTGATCCATCTATCATCCATGAATAAATAAAAGAGGGTTGGTTGAGAATCGAGTTGACTACACATATTTATGAGGAAACCTCAGTTTATTTACTTGATAAATAAAATTCGTTTATCAAATGACAAAACTGTAAATAAATCAACAATTTTGCCTAGTTATCATGGCAAATTTGTAAATAAATAAATTATGTGGGGTCCATTTTTTAGTCATAATGGCATGTTTGTAAATAAATCAACTAGTGTAGGGTCTATTTTTAATAAAATATTGTTGACTTATTTACAGTTTTGCCATTTAATAAACATATTTATTTATCAAGGAGAAAAACTTGAATTTTCTTCATATTTATTTAGAAAAAATTAAATCAGTATACAATGACAAAGATTTGAAAAAGTTGAAGCGAATACTAAGAAAAAATTTTGCAAAGATATTTGGAGAAGAACACAAATACATATATTAAGGTATACAATAATGAATAATAATGTTTGGTGACTCATATTGCAATTGGAGATCATTATTAAATAATTCTACACTTAATCTAAATTATACTCCCTCCTTTCTTTTTTTGTTTTATTAACATCTTATTTTAGTCGGTTCATTTTTGTTCTACTCACTTGTTTCATTGCAAGTTAATTGTCTATGTAATAGGAGAGAGAATTATGGACTAAAAGGGAAAGTGTTTGTATTACCCCAAGTTAACATGAACTCACTAGTAGATATTGTCTTTTCTAGGCCCAACTTGCAAGGATTTGCTTTGGTGTAGGACATAAGTCCTACCCAAAAGGCCTCTACTAGGTTGAGGTATCAACCACCATATAAAGATGGCTTTGTTCTCCTCAACTTCTGATGCGGGAGCGCCTCTTTTTATGGTAGTTGATACTTCAACCTAGTAGAGGTCTTTTGGGTAGGACTTTTGTCCTTCACCAAAGCAAATCCTTACGGGTTAGGGCTTAGAGAGGACAATACTTACTAGTGGGCTCATGTTGATCTCGGGTGCATGTTACAGTGTTGTATCTAAATTAAAACTTCTCTTTAAAAAAATGGATGTATTTAAAAAACCTGAGGAAGTATTTACTTATTTTCCCTCATAACTGTTAATTACCTATTTTTTAAAACTCTTAAAAATAGTGTGCGGACATTTATACCCTTAATTATTTTTTTGTTTACATATCTTCTCTCATTTATGTTGTCAACAATTAAAGTTAAAACATAAGACCAAACCAAAAGAGCTCCTCCAACATGGCTAGATATGACTCGTGTAACATGTGCGTTAGACGTCCTAGTATAATATAAAATATAATTCTAGATACTACACCTTAACATAAAACAAGCTGCCAAAAAAAAAACATAAAACAACAAACTATAAAGTGTAACTAATATACATAATAATCCAATGTATATGGCATGCCGTTCAAAAAGCACACAATCATCCCTTACAAAAGCACATGGTTGAGTAATTAAAAATAGATATTTAAAAAAAAAAAATTACACATTTGGACTTTCACGCTTACTAATGCACATCTTTGATCACTTATATCTTTCAAAACTTTACACCTAATAAAAATCAATTGAATTAGGATACGATTAAATAAGAAAATCTTTAAAATGAGAATAATAAAAATGATTTTATGTGCTTATGTTTTTACTACATTAAATGTGTATATCTTTCGAACTAAATGTGAAAATATTTTTAATTTGACTTGAATCCGATATCATAATTTTCTAAATATGATGTACATAATTGAAAATTTTCTAAAGTTCATAAATCACAGTTGAACATCTAATAGAAAAACATGCATATTCAATTAGATCCTTCTCATCCTTCTCTAAGGCCAAATAAACCTCATAGTTAAGGGCATAGAAAGCAAAATATATGAGTATTATCAAGGCCTACAAAAACCTTATCTACTTACAACTAATTAAGTTTCACTTAACCTCTAATTCTATTGTTATGGCTTAACCTAACGTTTAAATTACATCAATTCTAATTTTTTAGGGTTGTGACTTGCATATATATGTCTTGGCAAAATTGAGAATTGTGTATGTATTTTTTAAGAAAATAGTGCAACCATCATTAAAAATAACATACAAAAATAAAATAATATTAATTGTATTTGCCAGTTATCTAATTGTGGTCATTACACCGATGACGGCTAGTTGATATTATATTAAATTTTGTGCAAAATTACTTACGAAGTAATTATTGTTATTGTATTACGATGATCTAATCATTACGTTTGTTTCTAGTACATTCATAGTATTCAAAGTAACTTTTCTTGTTGAAGTAAACATATTAGCCTTGACATGATGACTGCAGTAGTAATATACTTTATCTCATTTCTTTTTAATTACAACACTTTGATATAGTCAAGTGCGATCTTGTAAGATCTTTCTCAAGTTATACTTTTACAATTTTTTTTTTTAATTTTTACTTTATTATTACAAATTTATTTATTTTTCTTTCTTTTGTAAATAATCACCCCTAAAAGCACCATTTGTTAACTAATCACCCGTTTTTTACAAAATTAAAAAATACCACCCCTTAAAGTCAAAACCAGTAAATACGCCACCCTTTTCCAATTTTGGCTAGTTTTTCGACTTAGTCCGGCCAATTTGCTGACTTAGAGGCCCACAAAATGTAAAATCAAAATTAAATTATAAAAAAAATCCAAACCCACCCATGCCACCTCTGCACTACAAAAATTTGGCCTTTTAGCAACAGGTGAAATCCGTTGCTAATATCAAGAATTCCGTCGTTGGACATAGCTAGCTACGGATATATCGACATAATCACTCCATTGGTAAAAACCTCGTCCCTAAATGGATTTAGAGATGGAAAAAAAAAACAAAAAAAAAAAAAAACAAATCTGTCGCTAGATTTAGCAGTGGAAAAAAAATTCCGTCTATAAATTTAGCAACGAAAAAAAAAATAAATTGATTTGGCTCTAAAAGTAGCTACTATTCGGTTCGACCTCACTTGTAATCCCCAATCTCAAGAATTGGGATTGGCAAGAGTCGAATCCGTGACCTCAAAGTCACATAGTGAAACTCTTACCAACTATACCAAATATTATTTGTTTACTTCTACGCACATAATTGATAATAAGTGAAAGAAATATTAAAGACGAAATTTAAAATCCATCTCTAGTTAGAAACAGATTTCCAAATCCGTTTCTATTTTAGAGACGGATAAGTTTACATAATTCCTCTCTAAAGTAATATTTTACATAATTTGCTTCGAAAATAATTTAGTGATGAAATTAAAAATCCATTGCTCATATCAGCAACGGAAAAAAAAAATCTGTCTCTAATTTAGCAACGGAAAAAAAAATTCATTTCTAATTTAGCAACGGAGAAAAACATCCGTTTTTAATTTAGAGCGGATTTTCAATTTCGTTTCTAATTTAGAGACGGATTTTTTAATTCCGTCGCTAGAATTCCTTTTCTATATGGACATCTATTTGTAGTGCCGGTAGTGGCAACTTTGCCACCTCCAACACCCTCTCCCCTTCCCCGTTTCCGTTTCCAGCAATCCCCTCCTTCCCCATCTCTGTTTCTGGCCCAGCCTTTTAGAAGCAGAATGAATTGGGGGTAGCCTTCTTCAACCTTGTCATTAATCACCTTCCCTGAGAATCAACTTCAACTAGAATTTCAACCACCTAAATATAACCGAAAAATTGTTTGATTAAACCAGCAAATTAAACCCTAAAAAATAGAAAAATAAGTTAAAGAATTTGAAAATTGTAACCTTGGAATTAGCAGAGGAAGCGGCGACGTGGAGGAACGAGCAACGTGAATTCTGTGTCAATTGAAGCATCGGTCTCCACAGCCATCGGGGATGGGGTGATTTCGAGGTCAGCTAGGGATGGGGTTTTGCGGCAGGGGAGGGGGCGGTGGGGTTTCGTGGGCATGAGTGGGGGTTTGGTGGGGTTTTGCGAGCAAGGGATAGGGTTTGATGGGGTTCGCCGGCAGGAGAAGTGGCTGGTTGGGGTGGGGGTGGTCTAGCAGGTGGCTGATTTGGGTGGGGTGGTAGGAGATGGGGGAGTGCCGGGTTTTTTTTAATTTAATTTTTTTTTTTTAAATTTTTTTAGTTTTGACCAAACTCGTGGCGCATGTATACCCTTAGTCGGAACACTGGTTGAAATTGGGGAAGGGTGGTGATATCTTCTGGTTTTGACTTTAAGGGTGGTATATTTTAATTTCGAAAAAAAAACGGGTGGTTAGTTCAACAAAGGGTGCTTTTAAGGGTGGTTATTTACAAATAATCCTTATAAAATATTTTGATTGAAATATTTCATTATCCGTGTGAAATGTGATGTAGTGCAAGTAAAAAAAAAATAAAAAATAAAAACAAGCAAATAAATTAATAGTTAGACTTGTTCTTTTGAATTTAAGGTTTACATCATCATATTTCTTAAGTTGATTGTGTTTAGTTATATAATCCACATTATTTAAGCAGTGTCTTTTATAATCGAAGACATTTTGTTCAAATTTTCTTATTTTTTGTCAAAATTTTTTTACTAGATTTTATTGATTTTATCAATGATAATATATGTACAATTTCAATCAAACAATGTTTCTTACAATAAACATAATTTTAATCAATTATCTAGTGGTTTAATTCTATATTCATTTATTAATTCAGATTGATAGGTTCACATAATACATTTGATTAACTTATATTAAACTAGATTATCGCTTATTTAAACATGGTGCGTGATTGGTTATTTTTTAATTTTTTTTTGAGATGTGTGTAATTGGTTATCTAAATTAAAAAGTAAGATTATATACTATAATATGTTTTTGAGATGTGTGTAATTGGTTATCTTTTAATTTTTTTTTTCTTCTTACAACTTTGTTGAAAAGCAGTGAGCTTGGCTACAAGGCATATAAAGCAGAATCGGTAGAGGATTTAAAAAAGCCTTTTGTGTCAATGTATTTTGGTGCAGCATATGTGACATGGTTATCAGAATATGAAGGAAGGTAAACTCATGTGTTTTTATTAACATAAAACTACAAAGGTAATGCTTTTTCAAGGATAATAGTTACTAACAATGTTACTCACTTGATAGGGAACGATCTCCACAATTTATTGTAAAATCTTTTATTTTTGGACCTAAAGATGTAACTCTTGAGGACACATGTCCAATGTGGCTGAAATTTCAAGAGAAAATAAGTTGCTATGAAGATGTTAAAAGGTAAAAGGAATATTATTTCTAAATACTTTATGCCTCTAATATATTCAACACATATTTTTGTAATCTACTAATTAGTCATTTTCAAAAATTCATGTACAGGGATTCCGAAAGTTGTAGCATAATGTAATTTGAAGAACAATTTTCCTTATATCTGGTAGAGGGGGCACTAAAATGTAAACAAAATTTCATTGTTATCTGCATTATAATTCATTTACTATATAGATTTCTATTATTAAGTAATTATGTTAATTTCATTCATTGTTATGTTATATATAAAATATATGACTGTTAACGTAAGAAAACCAAGTATAATTTAGATGTATACTTCGTATTAGTGTAGGTTTGGTGTCATACACTGTTATTCCTAAAAGTCAATTCATTACTCACATTCATTTAGTAAATTGTATGTGAGTAGTATTAAATAATACAATTATGCGAGTAGTAGTACTTTGGATATATTAAAAAATAAATGCTCTATGTAATAACAAATACAACAGGTTTTAACAATTTGTAAGGGATATTTTGTTAATTCTAAAAATTATCTTACTTATATATATATATTTAAAAACGAAGGTCAATAATAGCATGTTCTATTAACATTTTTCCCATCCTGGATATATATTCAATTGTTTATTAGTGCTCTCCAATAGCCTAATAGTAGAATTATGGTGCTCAAGCTACCCAATGGTTCCATAATCAATTCTAATTATTCTTTTTTTTTTTTGTAGATGTAAGTTTTTTATTTCACTGCTTTCAAGATTGCTAATTATAAACTCTATTTACTTATTGCACCCTGACCAAAAAAAAAAAAAAAAAAAGGGCTAATTTTCCTCCATTTCTCATTTTATTTTCTTTCCCCTTTCAATTTTTCTCCTATATCATTGTCAATTAATTACAATTCAATCAACATCAAACTTTAGATTATTCACCCAAAGAAACCATAAAAAAACATGCTGGAAAAAAGTTTTGCTGAATATTTGTAAAATATATTTATTTGATAATAATACGATTTATAAAATTGGATTTTGTTCAAAATAATGCATCCTATTTTGTTCAATTTTAATGAAACAATGCATACCATTTTGTTCAATTTTTGTGAAATACAATTACCTATTTGCTAGGAAAAAAATACCAACAAGCATTTGACACCCTATCACTGGGGTTCTAGTGTTATGTGGGGTATATACCAGGAGTTACCATTGTTTATTGGAAAAAACTTACTAATGTACGAGTAATCTACTAATTATCATAATCAAATATGGCCATATTCTCTTAACCTTTTTTATAAAGGTATGTAAAATAGGTCGTTACTATCACAGTATCCCTTTTTTAAATCAAACAAAATTTATAATTCCTAAATTAACCTTTAAACAAGTCCAGCGGCTAGTTTGGAATCGAACCAAAAGGACTAAAGGACACTAATTTTAGTCAATTAAAGAAGTAAGTTAAGTCGAAAAGTATGAATATTAAAAGAATGTATAATCAAACAATAATATTCGATTAACAATAAGAATAAAAGCACTATAAAAAAAAAAGTAATCAAGGAAATTAAGAGACAATTAAACATACAATAACCAAATCAATCAAAATGGTACCAAGAGGCAATTAGTCTACCTAGGTCACTCCTGCACACGCTTTGGTAAATCTCTCAACCCGCTTAGCTCACTCCTGCACAACTGGACGATGATAACTTTTAGGTGAATTAATATCATGAAGTCAATTGGGCAAAATAACCTCAAGTAATATATACATCACCAAATAACCAAATCAATAAAATTTTTACCAAGGGGCTCCAATGGGTTGTTCTGTTATTATTATTATTGCACATTGGTGAAGGCCTGATAAAAGGAGGGGTGATGGTGGAGGAGGTGTGTAGCCGTTGTTTGTGTGGGGTTTGATGAGGATTTTGTGGCTGTTGAATTAGTAGTGCGAATTTGGTGGTGGTCTTTGGTGGAGTTGTTTGGAGGCAATGTTAGTGGATTTGCGTGAGATGGGAAGATGGTATGAGGAGAAAGAGTTGTTATTGGCGCTTGGCAGTTGTGGGGTGGTGTAAGTTTAGGTAATGTTGTGGCGATGGATAAGGTTTGGGCTTGTGTAGGTTAGGGTGATAACAAATGAACTTTGATTGATAATAATTTTTTAATGCCCCGACCTTCGATCTTTTTTATTATTTATTTTTTATTTTTATTTTGGTGTCCACTCGATTCACCCTTTGGGTTAATCCGGATTCGGAGCTTAGTTTTGAGTGATTAGATTCCAATCCCTGTGGCGGGGGGAACGAACACGCAGTCCTCCCAACCAAGTGCAGCCTCAATCACCACTACACCAACAACCAATTGGTTCCCCGACCTTCGATCTTTGAACCGGGAAAATGCACCTGTACACGAAAGTACATACAAGGGATAGATCAAGACAAAAAATAAAATAAAGAAATAAAATGAAACAATACTTCTTGCATTTCATAATAATGTTCCCACGTTTTATTTTAAGTGTTTCATTCAAAATGATCTACCCACTTTGTATTTTAGTTTATTCCCTCACCTACCCTCTTAATTTTCCCATATTACCCTCATTTTATTGAACCTAATCCAATACTTTAATGGTCCCAATGAAAAAAAACAAAATGGTCCCAATATATTTTATTTCCCAAAAAAATGATGATCTCAATGTACGTTATTCCAAAAATCTACTATTTCCTTAATTTACACAAAAGATTCCAAATGGGAACATTAATATGAAATGGATGGACTAGAATAAAACAAAAACAAATATCAAAATTAACTAAAAAGAAAAGAAAGTAAAATAGAAAATTGAGAAAATCGTGAAATTTTTTTAATTAAAAATAAGAGCTCAAATAATAATTCTAAGACATAAAGGAAGAGAATAAGAAAACAAGTGAAATAAAGGTAAATAGAATTTTGTGAGGAAAAAAAACTAGAACCATTTGTAAAATAATACCAAAAAAATAACATAATGTCAATTATCACTTATTCAAATAATTCCCATTAATAAAAATAATTTCATTGTAGCACCACTACTAGAAACGCATCATTTGCAACACACTATTTGCAGCAAACCTATGTGTAGAACACTGCAAATCAACCTTAATTAATGAGGGTCAATAATTTAAGGAAAAATTGTGACAAAGGTCCTTTTAAAGTGACTCTCTTGTCACAAAGGTCCTTATAAAAAAAAGGTGGCACTAAAGGTCCTTATAAGTGAGTTTAGTTGTGCAGAGGGGCCTTTGACCCAATTCCGGCCAAATTCCGGCATTGGCTTTTTTTTTCAGGCCAAAAAGTATCACGTGCCTTGCACGTGACTTCTTTTTAAATTTTTTATTTTTTTTCTTTTTTCTCCTTTCCCTCTTCTACTACGAATTTTCCGCTGTTCTTCTACTACTTCCCAAATTTTCACCTGTGTTCCATTCCTGTTCATTCACCACAGTTAATTGCTGACAGGAAGCAAGCAACCATTAATGGCGAAGTGCAATTGAGGTGGAGATTAAACAATTCTGCTGTTGTCTGTGGTAAGTCTCTTTCAAATTAAAGGTTTTTGATCTTGCAAATTTTATTATGAAAAAAGCTAATTTTTTCTGTAAAAATGGTGAAGAAGAACAACCCAGGAAGAAAAAGCAAGTCAAAAGGGAAAAGCAGGGCCAACATCTTTTCATTCAAGCGCATAACTAGGCTCAGGTTTGTTTTTTTCGAATTTTATAATTGGCTTTTGTTTATTGCAAATTGCGTATTAAAATACTCAATTGTTGGGAAAAAGACAAACAATTTCAGTTAATTAACTAATTAATATGCGTATTAGTGGTTGGATGTGTATATTGTGTTGAAATTGTTTTCATGCATTGTGTGTTTTCATAAAATGTGCAACCTTAGATATGCTTTGCTTGTTGTGTTTAAGCTGGTACTTAGATTCTAGTTTATGTGATTGGTTGTTCAGGTTTAATTGCCCAATTGAAGTGTTGAAAATGTCGAAGCCAATTAACATAAGACTATATTATGGTGGTAATTTTGTGACTAGAAAGGGGAAAACTACTTATGAGTATGGTGATAGTGATTTTTATGGTTTAGCTTTGCACCCTAATGTTGAGGAAGTGTGTTACTTTGAATTTGTTGACTGGGTTAAGAAGGAATTAGGGTACACTGAAATGGGTGAGTTATGGTT